ATACGTGTATATATGGCGTATATTGAGAGGCTCCATAAAAATCTAATAAAGTTTTGCCCTCTCGTGGCTCATTTAAATCCCATTACTGGGCACTGACCAGTGACTAACTCTAAACTGTATACTGACTCGTGACCAACTGACCACTGTCAACTCAACTCCACTCAATACTGACTACCAGTAAGACAGTATGCTTCGACTTTTACATATCTTATTCTAATCGTTCAATACAATAAAATTGACACAATTAACTATTAGTTACACAACTAATTACCTGTACAAAAAAAGTCTTCTTACGATGTTTTGAAATAACCAAACAATTTAACCCTGTGTGGTTTTTTACAATTTATCGAAAGTTCTGCATGTGAAATGAAGTAACGATTACACAAAAATTAATACAATTTAATCTCAATTTTTTGATTAATAAATTTTTTTAACAAGTTATTCTTTTTGAACAGTTTTTCACCTTAAAAAGAAAATCTTCTACCAACTTATACTTATAAAATAAATATACTCTACAATGGAAATTAATTCATGTATTAAGAAAAATATGGTTGAGTTGAAAAATTATTGTTACGAGCGGGATTCGAACTCACGATCACTGTCCGGACCACTTGAGCTATTATGACGGTTAGTACGACCATCTAAAAGCTCCATATAGATTAACAGAAATTAAATTAACTGGAAACTATTAAGAACTTTTGGTGCCAATTAGAAGAATGAGAATATCATCGTCCTTCTCCACACATTATGCATGAACTGCCTACATGTCTTTTTTTGATGAGCAAAAGCAGTAACAGTTTTGGCAACGTGCTTCAGATCGAGTGGTCTTTTTATTCCCTCGTGTCACGTTTAACAACTCCCGTTAACAACCAACGGGTGGAAATCTGTCACAATGGCTTCTGGTAAATGGAGGGTGTAAAAGGGTGGCAATCGCCACTAGCTACGAATGTACATGACAGTCAAACATAATCGCAAAAAAATCTAATTGAATATCCGTTTTTATGGATTAATTAAGAAAATTTAATTAAGAAAAAATAACCTTAATTAATTTTAATGCGACATACGCACTTCAATTTTGAGCATTATTAACCAACTGTGATTAAAAATTAATTATTTTTATTTAAAAAATTAATTTTAATGGTTTGGTAGAAAATTAATCAAAACACCGGAATACGATTTTTTGACATAATGAATTTAACTAACAATTGATTGTACTCGCTTCGGCGGTACATTTACTAAAATTGGAATAATTTATCGTGGAATTATTTAAGCACGAGTCGCTGTCGCGGAATCGGCATGAATTAAGAAACCACGCGCGACAGACGCGACGTTTATTAATATGAATAATAATAATAATAATATACAGGAGATTTTACTAACTACCTTAAAAAACTACCTTAAACTACCTTACGAATTTACGGACTTAATACTTATATAAGGGGTCGTCGGTGGCCGCAACGGTTTAGTCGTTGACATGGCGCTCATCACCGTAAGGTGAAGGTCCCGGGTTCTATTCCAGCGGCCCTGCATTCGAATCCGACATACTTACAAATGGGCTTTTTTTCAAAAACACCGGCACCCTGAGGGTTTATATGACCTCTGCTGTTGCGAACCCTCGTAAAAAAATAATAATAAAATAAATAAATAAAAAAAAAATTCCTAAAATTTTTCATATTTGTTCCAATCTTTTGTTAAGTCGTTGTCTCTTAAGCCTTGTTTGTGGGTTCCATATAAACCTTATGTCTAGATAGAGTTTTAATTGTATGACCTGAGTGTAAGGTACTTGTTGTTGATGAGGAGATCAATACTTTCTTCAATGGGCACATTTTTCCTAATTTGTTGTCCACTTTTTGCTAAGCACAAAGTGTTTTTGGATGTTGGTTGGATAGGATTCATGTTAGAAGGCGGAATTACTGTGTCATTCGCATAGGAGGTAATCATGGCATTGGAATGCAGAAGAAAGTCAGCGGTATAAATGGTAGCAAGATGAAATCAAGAATGCTCTGTTTTGGCTGCTCTTGTGCTCATCTGATATCTGAGTATTCTTTACTGCTCCTCAATATTGGTGACCATCCACCTACGCCTGTGCGTATGACCTTCCTTGTCACCCCCGGCCTCGCGGGATAGGAAGGATCGGACCACCGAATCGTATAGGGACGAGGACGCTAAGACTGCGCCTCAACTCTTTAGATTTAGCCTACTTAATGTGGAACTTCGGCGACAATGGGTAATACAGTGACAAGGCGGGAGGTGTAGCCTGAAAAGGCGAGCCCCGTGTCTTCGTTCACTTCCGTTTCAATCCAGGTCCTTCGGCATTCTTCCTTGAGACCTCTCCCAACCCTTGGTTACAAGTGGTGTATCTCGGCGCAAAATAATGGTGCAGCCTTGAGGGCGTGGCAATCTCTCTAAAACATAAGCTGGAGTCGTGTCGGCGTCAGGGTCGACCGGGGACGGCAGGTGTTTTATCATCACACGAGGGTTAGTATACCAGATCCTGTCTGCATAGACGAGTTGGTGCATAACCATCAGAAATGTTCCAAAGTCCAGCCCCTGCTACAATGGGAACGAACTCGTAGTGGTTAGTGCTGATGCTCCTGGCGGGAACTTAGAGAAGATGCTGTTCTTCTATTTGTGTCATCCGCCCATGCACTTAAGTATAACCTTTGTTGCAACCCCGGCCTCATGGGAGATGAAGGATCGGACCATCGAAGCGTATAGCGTTGGGGACGCTCAGACTACGCTGACGGAGTCACACGAATGCGTGAGAAGTGCCGGATGGGAACGGATAGTGGTCGGTGGTGCCTACACAAATGGCGTCCTTTACCGAAGGCAGTCTCCAGTCTCCTCTAGGGAGTGATTAGCAATTCCACTTTAAACAAAACCGCGGCCGGAGCGGACCTGGAAGTTCTTACGCCGGAGGAGCCCCAATATTCTGGGAGTGGCCTTCTCTATCTAGGGAGTGCGTGGGAGACCAGGCTGATGCATTTCATTGGTTAGCTCTTTTACGCGCGGCATACGGCCTGATGCTTAATGCAGACCCGTCCACTCGGAATGGGCAAGCGAGGAAACACGATTTCTGAATAATTATCGATTAACGGTCTCTACTTACCACACATTATTATTATTTAAAAGAATTTATTTTTCAAGTTTAACGCAAAATGTGTCATTTTTTGAGCCATCCGTCAAAAATGTTTCAACGAGTGTTTTAATTAGGCAAAAATTAGGTCGATATAGATTTGATTAAATTTCAATATATTTTAAAATTAGTAGTGAGTCATTTCTTGACTCGTATATCCTCGCTGTCTGACGGTTTCAATTTCGTAAGACAGCTTTTAAATTAAATGTACTTAGCACTTCTCATTCAATTGGCAATTGATAATAATTGATTAAAAATCATTTGAAGTATATATTTATATAGTTATATAAATTAATTAAGATCATTATATGTATATATTGACTTAAAAGAGGCGTTTAACTCGGTGGATCATTCTTTTCTTATACAAGGTGTCTCTTTCAAGTTCTGGTCGTCTAAACTTTCTATATTGTTGTGCTACTTCGAATGTGGAGGTGGTATTAATCCATGTCTAAATCTTTCAGGTAGAGGCCGTGGTGCGCCAGGGATGCTTACTTAGCCCAATCTTAGTTTCCTTTTACACGGATGTTTCTCGTCACGATCAAATCATATAGACCAATATCGCTACTACCAACAGTGTCTAAACTCTTCGAAAAGTTATTATTAAAACGAATAAAACACATCGTTGAAAAAAAGAAAATCATTCCTGACCACCAATTTGGATTCCGAGCAAGACACTCAACAATAGACCAAATTCACCGAGTAACGGAAGTAATAGAAAAATCTCTCGAAGAAAAACAAATTTGTTCTGCTATCTTCCTTNATACAAATTTAATTAAAAAAAAAAAAAATGTTTCTCGTCACAAAAAACTCGACATATTTATGTCTTATTGCAATTTATGTAATATATTAACTATTAATGTATTATTTATTATAGTTATTACTTATTAATTTATTAACTATTATGGAAATAGTCAATCTAAATTTTTGATGTAAAAAATCTCATTAATAAACTTCAGTCTGAATAGAATAAAGTCTAATTTAATCGAAATCTCAATTTTAATTTTTCAACAGGGTATCACATAAAGCCACTTTTAAGGGGTCACAAGTTTGGGTTGCCAAAGTTTAGAAGAATCTTTCTCAAAAAAACTTTTTTTCTCTTTACTCTTACGCTTATTTGTAGATTTATTGATTCATACAGATCTTGAACGTTTCGAGAAGTATACATTGAAACTGCATATAAAATGTACTGTACCAATGTCCTTTCCTTAGACGACTATCGGCTATTTAAAAAAAAAAATATATATATATCATGCGACGCTAACCGATGCTACCCGACGC